GGTAGGGGGCACGCTTACTGTTCCTCAGATGGAAAATTTGCTCAACTTATTGACATAACAAGGGAAAACTCAATGCGTGCACAACAGTTAGCAAACTGACCATTAAAAAGGTTAACAAAATTTTCTGATAGAATAAGCACACCTTTAAAGCAGCACCACAGACCTTTAAATCATGCTGCCATGTTTGTCTTGTTCCCTTTTGACCTACTGGCAATATTAATACAAATTCACATACTGATAACAGGGATTAGACTACTTTTCCTTCCAGCCTCAATTTGGTTACAGAAAAATGAAATGACTGCCCCATGAGAGAGGTCTATGAAACTAGGCCCGGATCTTAGGAGTAGAGTGCTTTCAAGTACACTGTACTTATACCCGCTGCTTCACCTGACTCAGACCAGCCAGCCGACCCTAGCAAGCTCGGTGGTCGAGTGATTAAGACGTCTGCACTAGTAAGCAGGACGTTGTGGGTTCGAGTCCAACCTGAGTAAGCTTGTGAATTTTTTTGCAAGCTCTAAGACAAGCACTGAGCATTCAGTGTTTATCAATATATACGTTGGCTAAGGGCAAACCCCGTTATATAAAATTAACATCTCCCCAACGCAAAAATACATCTTGAAAATACACTGTACTTAACAAAGAAAAAATAAATGGCAAGGGTTAGTGCGGCAGAGAACACTTGACAGCCTAACATGATAGGGGCAGGGGTGTGCATATCAGAGAGCCAGTGAACATGGGTCAGCATACATTACATGTAGTCAGACCATGCTGGACAGCTGACTATACACGTACAATCATACTATTTCAACACAAACACCAAGTATTCATCTCCTGACAAATCACAAAGCTCCTTGTTGCCATCTTTGTTCAATTCTCATCCTACAGGAACTACTTTCAAATTTGGGGTGAGAGTGGAGGAACTTGAAATATCAATAAAATAATCACTAGAGGTTTAAAGTGCCCTACAGCAGTGTAGGGTCTGTGTGTTTGCCTTAAAACAACCATTTCTTGTTTTTTACATGTACTTTTACGTGCAAAAACACTCTAATGTTAAACTCAAGATTTTCCAAATTTTAAGAGATTTTTTGAAAACTCCTGAAATCAGGAAAATCCTGATGACAAAATATGAAATCAGAAACAATCTTGACAAATCTCACCCCTTCAAATTGCAGTGTGCCTCTGTGCAACGCTTTGTGATTGCAACAGGTTCCGTACAGTGCCAGCATCCGGACATTCACTAGTCATGCTAGTACTGCAGACAGAGAGGTAGACGAGTCAGGATACTCACTCATGTCACACATACAGTCAGGCATCAGTGTTGTGAATGCGACAAGAAATTCAAGATGTGGACATTAACCTTTGCTGCTCAGGACAGAATTTCCTTCAATTATGAACCTCAGCTTGGCATTATTGAGGCTCAAGATACAATCAAGTGTCTTCATAACTCATCGGTTGCATCACGGAATGACATGTAACATCCAAACTTTGTACATTTGTAAGGATAATTCATAACAGGCATCCATGAGAAATAGATCAAATCTCTGAATTAAATAATGTACAAATAAATCAAGTATACAAATAACCATAAAAATAATAAAAATTAAAACACATCCCAAACTTAAATCTTAAAACACCAGTACTTGAAGAAGAGTGGAAAGAGTTGGACATGCATGTACAGACAAACAGGGCTCTGTAGAGAAACACAAAAAAAGGGGGTGGGGGGGATAGGGAACGAAGGAGGAAAGGCAAAAGGATGAACAGTACATGTACATGGAAGATGGGTGTGTGAACAAAGAGTTGAGGCAAGGGGGACAAAACACAAGGGATAAACACTGGGGAGACCAGCGAGGGCAAAGATCAAAGGAAACAGAATTCAAAGTTGAATAGTGGAATTGTGAGGGCCAAAAAGGGATTAAAGGGATGGAAAAAAAATCTGGAGTAATGGTATCACTCTAGAAAGGAATCATAGGGCTGCATGAACACAAAGTACAAAATATATAAATAAAAAATAAATACCATTAACCCCAAAAGAGTCCTCAACATTTTTCTGCTTTATTCAAAGTGTATTTTCTTAGGAACCGACTTTAACCCAATGTAAATCCGGGTCATAAGACAAATAAAACAAATACAAAATAAAGCTGGTAAAAGTACGGCAGCCTGCCAGTGCCAATTTGAACCATGCAAAAATTTTTTCTATTGCTAAACAACGCAATAACATTGCAAAATAATGCAACAGTATTGCAAAATAATGCAATAACATTGCAATGATACCATGATTTATTGCCAATTGGCGTGTGATCATAAGAGAAGTAGAACCTCACAAATTTGCGCAATGTCATGTGCTAGCTTTCCTCTATTACTGTTTCACAGGAAATTACCTGCACTGCTCACACAAGGGTGCATTCGCCCGGCTGAAGTGGGACCTGCTGGTCAGTGACAGTATTGCTAACGGGGGAGTATACTCCTGATCCGGGTATAATGCACACGGATCCTACTCTTGTTAACCAGAGTAACTGCGTGAACATGCCCCAAATGTGTCCATAGAACTGTTGCGTTATTTTGCAATACTATGCATTATTTTGCAATGTTATTGCATTATTTCACAATAAAAAAACTTTGGCATAGTTCAATTTGGCACTAACAGGCTTCTGTAAAAAAGTTCTGCCACTCCTACATTGTTGAACTCTTAGCTAAGCATCTTAATTCTTACATGAACAAAACAGTACGGCATGCATGGTATGCAGTAGTATACATGTACACTAGAATGGGGAAACCGTAGATGTACACTTAAATATCTCACATTTGTGACAAAGGTCATAGTTCCTTATATGGAACCCTGGATTGCCTATACATGTACATGCATGTAGTTCAAAAGTTGTTCATTGTTTACTATACTGCAGGGTAGGCTGGTCATTAACAACCAAATTGATTCTATGCATATGCAGGTCGGGGACCAAACCCTAATCTAGCGACGTCCCTAGTTTCTGCTTATGTCGCTTGTTCAAGTGGCAATGATGAAATTTTTATCAGGTCACATGATAATGATGGGAAATTTGGGGAAAATGATGAGATTTGAAATGCCGGACGCCCACATGGCCGCAGTTGCCGTTGGAGTCTATGGCAAAATTATTTCGAATTGCTTTTCTGGAAAATCACCACAATAAACCAAAAATTTGCCAAGGTGAATTGATGGAGATTTCGAATGGCTAAATTTTCATGCATAAAGTAAACTTCGGCAGAGCTTTATTTTTTTCAAGTAAACATTTTCATCAGCTGGATTGGACTCACCTACCAACCGAATCAAACACATCCAGTGCAAGATTCAACCGAAAAATCTCCTTGATCCACTTTTAGAGATACCAAATGACAGGAAAGTTTCATTCATATCTGGGGTAGCATGTATTCTGTAAATTTGATCAACCAGAACAATTGTATTGAAGTTTTTGGCCGATAAAGAGATTGATGTGGACATAGCCATATTTGACTTATTCAAAGCGTTTGATACTGTCCCCCATGAGCGTCTGAAAGCTAAGCTTCATATGTATGGAAATACGTGAAAAGCTACTGAAGTGGATTGGCAACTTTCTTCAGATGCATAAACAAAGAGAAATGTTCGATGGATCTAGTTCTGATTGGGATTCCTTGGACTCCGGTGTGCCTCAAGGCACAGTCCTCGGCCCTCTTTTATTTTTACTTTATATCAACGACATCACAGACAATCTTCAGTCAGAAGTTCGTCTTTCTGCTGACGATTGCATTTGATATAGAAATGTCCACAACCGGGCTGATTGCATCACATTTCAGGAAAAGATATTGAATATGCCTCTACATGGCAAATGCAATTTAATATAAAGAAATGCTCCATCGTGCATAAGGGAAACAAAAGGAAGAAGATTTGCAATAGTTATAAGCTGGATAATCATTCTCTTGCAACAGTGGATCATCACCAGTATCTGGGAGTCTTCCTCTCCCACAAATTTAAATGGGATTATATGGTCAAGAAGGCTAACTAGGTATGTTGCGTAGAAACTTTAAGCAATGCTTGAAAATGGCAAAAGCAACTGCTTATTTAGCACTTGTTCGTCCACACCTGGAGTACACTTCAGTAGTATGTGATCCCTTCGAGGCTAAATACATCAATAAGCTCGAGATGATCCAACGACGTGCAGCATGCTTTATTAACAATAACTTTAGTACAGAAGCTACTGTGACCGATATAATCTCCAACCTTGGGTGGGATACCCTAAAACAGTGTCATGAAGCTGCTAGATTGATCTTGATGAAACAAATGTATATGGGTACATCTGCTATTCCGAAGTCTATTGTCAAGCATGCTTCCACAAGACCACGTAGAGCAGCCACTGGAAATAGTTCTCAAGGAATTCCTTTGTACCCAGAACTTGTAGAGATGGAACAGGCTTCCTGATACATGATAGTCTCACCAATGTTGGGCATCAGGTTCTCGAGTTTATCAGATCCAGGGATAGGAACTTAAATTAACTTTGTGTCACTCCGTCTTCTCGCGTGGCTTTACATGGATTCAGTGAATCTGTTGCTACGTACTGAAGAAGAAGAAGGAGATGTCATCTGCGAACCGTGATCTAAAAATTGTTCAACAATTACATCATCGTTGCATAATTGAATGGCCTTTGCACAGTCTGGCATCATCGCTAGATTGTTGTTTGGTCCCCGTGAATGTGGACTCCTAGTGAATGTAAAAATATGCGCAACTTCATTAAACATGCAAATTACGTGCTGCTTTTGGATCAGTCTTTTAGGGAAAAGATAGCTTAACCTGGTCCAAATCAATAGTGGTATACTTCAAATCTAGCCCACTGAGTGGAGTGTTAGTATGTCTCTTTTTTGATTTTAGACGGGATCGGTTAGTATGACTGATCCCATCCAAAATGGAAAAAGAGGCATACTAACGCTCCACTCGGTAGAGCTACTTCAAATCTCTATCCACACTCTCCAACGAAAAGTTCAGGGTGTTTTTATTGCTCCTAAGTCGTACACCGACTGCCTAACAGTTAATTGTTCTTACCTATTATTGATGAAATTCGATAACTCTCATCAGCCACCTTTCTCGATGAATGACCATGTACACGCAAGGTCTGATTTACTGTCACAGTGAGTTAATCAGGTCCCTGGCCTCAGATCTTACTAGTTGCAGGACATGTAGGAACACTCTCTCTCACTTGGCGCAAAACAAATCAAATGTCCCTAGCCCAGACAACCTCTTTCCCGAGCTCAAGCAAACATTATGATTTAAGTACGTACATAATCAAACGAGGCCAAACTTAATGTTTGTGTCATGGTCTGTTTTCAGCAATGAATATGTAGGTTCGCTCATACCAGCCACATGTTTGTTAAGTCGGCCTGAGGGATTTAGAGCCAGATTAGGCAGGTACCAGTGACTCAAGAGTTTTGTATTGAACTCGCTGGCAGTGTATACATATAGGATGGTGACAGTCTAGGATTTCTTATGTCGCTTTGGTAAATCCCCAAACATATTGCAAAATACAGGACCTTCCAGCATTGTATTTCTGTCACTTTTAAGGGAATGGGTCATGTTGGCGAAAGTGTTAAAATAAATCAACTTACAAATAATTTGCAAAGGTTAACAATGTTCCCTATTTGTTGTTTTGTATAGACAAATTGATCTGTGAAAAGCTCGATTTGTTGTTGCATCGGGCATATATAAGGGGATCAAAATATCATTTGGGGTTGTGTGTGGCCGAGGTGAAGAGCCTTTCTTATTCCTTGAGTATCACCACTGCACTGCTATAGACAGAATAGGGTGAACGTAGGCTACCAGAGGGGTATTGATAAATACCACGCATTAACAATTCATGCATTTGTATGGGACAGTATAGTGTAGGCCCAAAACATACCTCTGTGATGCCACGCCCCTTGGAGGTGGAGCGAGATTTGGGTGAGAATGGCCTCCTCCTCAGAGCGCGGCGTGGACGGCACATACCCGCAAGTCCCTGAGCGGCTCTGGACAAGTCCCTTGGGATGGAAGTATACCGTCCCAGTTGAAGAGCTGATCCCTCAGATTTGGCTGGATGGCTTGCTGTTTTCTGATTGGCTAAGTAGTTTAGACGGAACTCAAAGTGACATAAATAAACAGTCTAGGACACCCATTCACTGTACACTAGAACATCAGCAATTGGTTTATTCCAACAACATCAGACCATGGGAAAAACCTGCTCGCCTGGCTTATTTGGAAAAACGATAGAGGGTGCTCCTGTAACTGAGCATGGAGGTGTGATTCTACCTCCATGAACTGAGACAACTTTAACATCAACTTTATTCGCTTGATAAGAAAAACCACTTAAATGAGGAACAGGTCGATAGCAACTAGGAGGAGGACGCTTTCTCAATCGTAGCTTGTGGGCGAGGACAGAAATATATATAGCTTATTTCCCTCCTGCAATGCGCAATCTCTAAGGGGGCATATATCCAGGGCCAAAACCAATCTAGGGATGTCCACACAACCCACCGTGACCCTACCGCCCCCCCCCCAAAAAAAACAGGGAGTAGTGCTCACCTTGAACCTGCAGTCTGGCTCAGTGCTAACCTAACGGGCAAGCTTGGTTCCGGTTTGTTTCCCCGGCCGGTACTCGGTACCCGTACCCCGTGTACGCATACGTTAATGTTTTAGTTTTAATGGCGCTTTCAGCAACTCGGGCTATTTGCGCCAATAACTGTACGTTTATTCATACACTTTATTAATCACCATCACATTACGGAGTTAGGAAGCAGATCCAGTTTTAAGAGGCAGGAGGAAACCGAAGTGCCCGGAGAAAACCGGCGAGAGCGAGACTGGAAACCAAAGGCACTTAAAGCCTGGGCCACGCCGACGCTCGAACCCTGGCCTCAAGCTTTGGAGCAAAGCGAGGGAAGAACCGCTACGCCCTCCTTGATCCTACACGCTGGGTCCGAGCGGTTTTATAGCCTCGCCGCAGTCTCGCGCTTGCGCAATACCTGCCGCGTGCATAGAGCAGTGACCACCCCGTCCATCATTTTTCGTTGCATTAAGCGAAATAGGAATGCAAAAGAGATTTCATACATTGACGAAAAGTACATAAATGCAGAAAAATTGTCTGAGAAAAATTCATTGTAGCTGTACACTTTAAAAGCCCTCCGATCCGGGAGCTTTGTACTGGATGAGAACTGAAAAAAAAGTGTTTAGCGTCCTTTAAAAACTTTTTTCTCTCTGACTTTTTTGTTCAGTCTTTTGTGTCTCAAGGACTGTCACCCTAGCAGACTTAAACCTTATACTCACTACTCCAGGGTTTGTAAAATCTGGACGAGATTATAGCATTCCCTATCCACAGAATAAGCATCAATTATGCACAATACACTCGGGTCGAACACAGTCCTAATTTTGGCAAGATCTTTTTTTCCGCTTCAAAAAGGAGACCATTTCAATATTCAGTGCAACAAAACCTGAAATGTTGGGTTTTTCTAATGAATTTGCATTCTGTGAAGTGCTGAATAAAATTTGTCAACTATCCAGAGTACGCGTCGGATAGTGAAAAAAACAGAAATTTCGCTGATACCGTTGCTTTTTGTTGCAAGCGGGAGTAAAGTTAAACATTCAAAGTGGCGAAACTTGAAATTCAGTTTACTTGTTTTGTCACAATTATTAGTAATCCTCGTCGGCTTGACAAATATCAGCTTCCTGTGTCGCACACAGCCGCTCAGCTTAAATATGTTCTTTTGTTTCTCATTGTTAGTAAGATGTAAAATTCCAACTATTTCTGAATATGCAAACCGTGAGACCCGCCACCCATTTAACAGGAAAAAAAGAACTGTAAGAAACTATGGAGATCGACCATGCCCCCCATCCCAAAATGAATAAACCGAATCTGCTAAAGTCCAGGTTTGTTTCACAAGGGTGGACTTGGGGGGGGAGTGTCCATAGCTCCCTTAAAATGGGACCAAAAATTTCAAACCAATAGAGAAAAAGACATTTTTGCTCTATTTCATTCCTCTATCTTCTCGAAGTGTGTAAAAATCCTAACTTAATGTAGCCTTGAAAAGCCACAAAAATAACATGAAAAGTTTCCAAAGTCCCCAACCCCTAAACAAGTCCTCCCCGAAAATCTTTTTCTTGATCCGCCCTATAGTGGTCTAAACGATATGTTGATATAAGGCTGACCTACAACTGTTCTTGTGTGGCGCCGCCTGCGTCTAAATGTAGAAAGGGCTTAGGAATGGGGCCCCAAACCGGTCATCTGTTATGTTCAAAGAAATTGCGCATTTTCCCCGGCAAAAGCTGTTCCTCAAATGTCTTCCAGTGAACGTTACGTTTTGAAAGTTTATAAAACTTAAGAACAAAAAACACACTTGTAAACAAAAGAGGAAAAAAAGAAAAAAAAACTTTTCTGTATTAAAAGACCCCACTCTCACAGAAGTAAATAAATGAAGCAAAAGATGTGTACTATTTACTCGGAGTATTTTTATTTTGTTATATATCACATCAATTTAAAAGCAGAAGTGAAAACCGACAAGTGTTGAGGTTCCCCAAGAGATCCTACGGAATAAAAGTGCTTTTTAATAAAACCTGGCAACCACATAATTATAACAATATAATTTGCCACAGTGCACGCGCGCCTCAGTCATGTACAACATGCGCATGATTGAGGTGGCCGCACGTGAATTACGGTCTGTACTGAAAATTGAAAGCTAAAATTCCGAATAACTTTCACACTAAAAATTTGGTATAAGTGGAAACACGAGTGTACTTCGTGAATGTAACGTCCGTAACACCTTTGTTACACACAGACGTCTGCACTTCTCTCTACACCACGTTTTCGGATATCAAGTAATGGTATTAAGTTAACGCAAACGTGCACATTATTATTTTCGTCACAATAATTATTTTTACACAGTGAAGTTTTTGAAATTAATATTTGAATTAGAATCAAAAGTTTATTTTTTTAGAATGAAGACATAAATGTACTTCTCTAAACTACCAGTGCACGAAAAAAGCGCTAGGCTGGCCGAAGGGAAAACAGGAATGAATTATTAATACGTGATCAAAATGCTCTAAAGACAGCCTTTATGAACACGTCAGCACTAGCTGTTGCGAGAACATACTCCAATGACTTATGCATTAAGTACAGCTGTTGGTCGGTTGTTTCTTCATAAATGATCCCATGAACTACCTTCATGTGGCCCGAAATTTCCCACTTTTCACACACTCTTGATTCGTCCAACACATCTGCCATGGGCAACCTTTCTCATGCTCGTTCTGAACTATCCCTCTCACACAAAACTCCAACCATCTCTGACTGCAAATAACTTAAAATACCCCTCTCCGAATCCCCCAAGTTCACCAAAAATCACACTTTGAAGTCCTCAAAAATACTGCTTATAAGTGAAAAGCGTCTAAGAAGACTGTCATGTCTAGCTCTCATTTACGACTGCATACCCTCTGTGTCTGATTTTTTTTCCCACAAATTTGCACCGGGTCGGTCTCTGACCTTTATCACAGGTGGCCATCAACTCTTTTATTTCAAATGGAGCCTTGGCAATTTTTAATCTTAAACGTTCATGCACGGGTGCGCCGGGCAGGTTTAAAACAATTCTACCACCTTGAATACACGCATTCAAAATTTGTGTGCTAACATTAATTAAGAGCGTGTGTGAGCGGACAGCTAAGATTTTTTTTGGGGGGGGCGCGATTTACAGAACTGAACAGCTACACTTCAAATCGAATGATTTATTTCAGAACGTGTTTAGGAAAGCACAAAAAGGCTTCCGCAATTACTTCGTTAATTGAAAGAGGAACTTAACGCAGGTTACAAAGTACAATCGTATAAGTAGGGAAAAAAGACAAGTATCTTGATCCAAGGGTTTTGTAAATAAATTGGAACATCAAGCTTAGGCCTATAGGCTGCTTGACTTGCAAAGCCTCCCCGTGGAAACCCCATGCACTGACTCGACGCTCCTATAATAGCCCGTTATCGGCCGCTCGTTCAGTCCCAAGACTCAACTCGAGAGTCTTCCCTGTCATGACATTTCCTAATCCAAAATTATCAGACTTGGTGAAAAAGTAATTCTGATAACCTTTCCAGATTCTTGGTCGGGCATTGGGAAATCTAAACCCCCAAAATGCTGGGGGGAGGGCACTTTGCTAGTTCTACGGTCACTTGCCCACGCTTTCATCTCTATTTGAGCAAATGATCCGTTTCTTTGGTTGATTTGCCAACTCCTTCACACATTAAAAAACCATTCCTATAAACAAAGGTTTACAATGCCACTCCAACCATCCATTGAACACAGTACTGAAAAATTTCCCTATTCTCTCGTTCAGCTGCTTTACACTCTTAATCTACCTAAATTGACAAAAAAATAAAAGCAGGAAGCTAATCTTTCTCATGGTGGCTGACCCTCAAAACCACCGTGGTTTATATTCTAAACCATATGCTGGTGGGGGTCTCCTTAAACCATTTTCATCCTCGAGGGGAGAACGGGTCTGGAAAGTCCCTGCAAAACAAGCTGACTTTCAGGAAGAGACAGACAGCTTACAGCAGTCAAATACTTTCGATGTGCTAAATTTTCAATCCTTATTCCCTTTTAATTTAACGATCAATGTTCCTTAATTCAATTGCTCTCGACCTTACTAACTTCGCGCGCTCTTAGTCCTCAAATTAACAGCACTCACCGAAAGATCTTCATACACGCTCTACGTATTCTCAAAACTCAGTGTTGAATCAAACACTTATTCATGAGTGCGGTCAGTGACCACTCTCTGAAACTGTGAAATCCAGCTCTTCGAAAGTGTGGTCAGTGACCACTCTTTAAAACGTTGAATCCGAGATTTTAAATATTAAATCCACCATTTTAAACTATAAAACCAGCATTTAACCCGCTAATGTAATAATGCTGATTCCCTATTTTCAAGGAAAAGTGTTAAATTTATACTTGACCCGTTGAACTAACTCTTTTAAATGTTGGATTTAAAATTGAAAATGCAGGATTAAGCATGTAAAATTCTGGGTTCAACATTTTCAAAGAAGTGGTCACTGACCGCACTTAATATGTAGGCCTACGAGTTGGATCCAACATTGCAGCGTTTAGCGTAAACACACTTACGCACAAACCAAAGAAATGGAGAACCAACTTTCACCATTGAAATTTAAACCAAAATTCCGGCGACATTAATTTTTTTCCAGAGAAATTAAGGTGACTGATCAAGAGCCGGGACTGATAGTAATGTCATGTCCAATTAGAACGCTGCCTACAACAACTATCTTAACATTTTCCACTCATCCAGTATCACCCTCGCTTTCAATTTCCAAATACTGTACAAACTCAAACAATGAAAACTCAAGAACCCACACGGCGGATTGGAGTTGTTCGCGCAACATTTCGGTGCTCTGGCTAAACTGATGCCGCAGAGAGTAACAAAATACGTCCAGCCGCCAGCCCGCAGTGATTTCCTGCCTTATAATTTGCGTCATTTATGACTACAGAGTGATAATCTTTTTATAATATGTATTAAGACAGGGAACGTGATGGCTTCACGACATCTAACCAGCGTGAAAAAGCAAGCTTCGAATCGCACAATCTAATTGCAAGGAAATCTTCTGTTTCAAATTGTCAAGGCGTGACTTCTAACAAACAGAATTTCCTTTGTCATTACTACCACATACATTATGTCATATTGTCACCTTTAATGTGGGTTGGTTTTGGAAAACATTTTTGAGTCAAAATGACGAAAACTTATCTGTTGGACCCCTTTGTATTTGTAATAAAAAAACTTAAACCTAAAGGTCTTCTGAAGCACACTTCACTCACTGGTTTGTATGTTTTGTGGCAATATATAAATATATTCTATTTGTTCCACTGTAAACAAGACTGATAAAAATGTGACACTGCATTTTTCAAATAAAAGCTAGGTACGTGGTTATTGTTTATTTAAAAGATAAAATTTCCAGGGCGAATGGGGGAGGCAACAGGGGCCATGCCCCCTCCCCAAAAGAGCCAAGATTTCTAAAAAATAATAAAGAAAGGTGACTCTTTGCTCTATTTAGTTTCCCGCCCTCCAAAAGCAAGTAAAACCCCCAAATGCAGTCTCACCCCTCTAGAAAGACCATAAAATAGGAAAAATTCCAAATTTTGCCTGCCCCCCAAAGCCCCCCCCCTGAAAAATGGTGTTGGATCCGCCCTTGTTGACATATTTTGTTTCATCCAAAATTATATTTGGGGTGGACATTTTTCCCGCATAAAAAAAGAGAGAATCAATTTAACTTGACAGTGACACATGCTCCCCAAATTTCCGAAGTCCTTCTGGTCCCTTTTTAACTTTTAAAACACTCTAACATTTCTGAAATGAAAAATCTCTTTATCATGGCTCAGTCTTTAAAACTTCTCTAACCACAATAAAGCAAACATTTTCGTTCCACACATTCAGGCGAAAACGGTGACCAAAATGCCAATTTTTAGGCTTTGGAAAGGTACAAGATCAAATACTTTACATTTTTGTAATTATCAACACTGATTACCAACTGCGCTAAAACGATTACTGCGTTGGAGTTGTTTCGATAAAAATACTGAGTGTACAATTCAGACGGATTACTAAAGACATTTTTTCTTTTACATTTGGCAATGATGTGGCCAATATTATAAGAGACATCAACATTATGTTTAAGCACAAAAAATACAGAAATATTATATAATATTCATAGAATTTACACTGTGAGTGGAACACATATTATGCAGCACAAAATTTTCAATCAGTGATAACTAAAACTCAAAGTACTCAAGATGCACATACATGTTTAATAATGTACAAGGCACAAGTAATCAAAAATATAAGTCCTATTCTCGATATACTATTTTACATTTAGTAAACCCTGTTTAAATAATGAAACTTCACTAGAACACTGAATATTTTAACAAATACACTGTATACGCTGTTTCACTCAGGACAATATACACATATATAAAATATCGGCGGTCTCTATTTGTTTATGTGGCATCAAATAGTTTTGAATGATACTTACAATGGAATTTGGTGACACTACAGATGAGGTAATACCTTCTCCACGAGTTCTGATTAAATATTGTACTATATGCGTCCCAATATTTATCTATGCGATGTTAGAATTATGGAATTCTTTGATCTTGCCACGGTGGAGATGTATCCGGAACGAAGAAAAATCTACATTATTATCTGTTATGCCGACGGTAATACTATGCACGTTTAAGGTCTTATAAATCATGACAGATGAACCATGCATCTGACACATCAAAAGCTGTTATTATAAGCAGAATTCATTTCACAAAATGGTATACATGTACTCACAATATGCCAAGTGATACCTATACGACACTTTCCCTTGGCCTGGACATTACATTCCCTTTGCTTGGGCTACTTGGTACCTCGTTGTAGAATTTGTTTTGGTCTGGTCTTGTAAGATGAACCAGAAGGCTTCCAAGCCCTTGACCCTTTGTCACCAGGGAGTCTGAATTGACAACAAAACCCTCCTCGCCAGATTTGAGTGTCTCTGCTGAGTCTGGGAGGAACTTCATGTACTCGGTAGATTCGGGGAAAGGAGAGGAGGCAGTACCCAGACCAGAATCGCAGTCTGGATTTTCTTTACTGGGGGTGGGCACAGCTCTCAGCTCAAGTTCCTGTGGCCTGTGGAGCAGTGGTGAAGGAGTCGCTGAGGACAGCTGATCACGGACGGGATTGTCATGTGAGGAGCTCAGCAGCCTCTCAGCTTCACTGTCCTCTGGTGCCTTGCCTTTGCTTGAACTCCAGTCACCGGACAACCTTGCAAACTCCAGCAGACACCGCGCTTCTGTCTGGTCAAGACCGTCAGAGGACCCAAACCCCTTTGAGGGGGATTTCCACGTATGTTGGATGGCTGTGATCTGTTGCTGCTGGTCCCTGTCCTCTGCTGACCTTGCCAATGCTTCATCCACTCCAGGATTCTCACTCTGTGGAATGATAATGCGGATTGCTGCCGTTTGTCCATTATTCCCTTGGTGCAGTCTCTCGGAGCTCTTGCTGATTGTGGTGGGGACCCCTGGTGTACTCCTGATTGAAGTCAGGGGTTTCTTCTTGCCCATTCTGTGCAACAGTCCCTCAGTGACTGAGTGGCTGCGCTTGTGGCGCTGGCCCAGTGGAGTGGAGCATGCTGGTGAGGGCTGCCCAGACTCCCCGGCTGGGGTTTTGCTCGGGCTGCGACTGGAAAAGAATGGGATTGGGATGGAAAACTTACGTCTGGTCTTGGCTTTTGGCCGGCAATCTTGTGCCTTTCCCCTCACGTGGGTCGCAAGGTCTAGGAGCGGGGATCGAGAGCCCCGGCGTGGGTCAGCCAAGGTCTGGTTTCTGGTGACAGGGTCCAGCATCGTGGAGGAATCAGAATGGGAGTTGTCACGGGAGCAGAAACCGTTGGTGTTATTACTGGTTTCCATGATGGGTGCTTCGGAGGGGCTACTGAAGTTGGACACTGTGTAGATGTTGGAGGACTCCATGTTCTCAGTCTTAAAGGACACCGAGCAAGGGTCACCGGTCATGTCCTGGCTGATGCTGCCATTGGTCCGCCAGCGGAGCTGTGAGGTTTGACGGGCCTGGGTGCATCTCATGGAAGGGTGACGGCCAAGGCTCAGGGTGATGGAGCGAGACATGCTGCGCTGCCGGAACACCTGGTTGCTGAGCGAGTGCAAGATCGCCTTGGAGTCCTTTTTGAACTGCTTGGTCAGGATGGTGTACAAGAATGGGTTGGCACAAGAGTTCAAGGGCAAGACGAATATGGTCAGGACCTTAGCCCCTTCAAGGGAGATCAGTTGATGCCCAAAGGCTGCCGTCAGGCTGAAGAAGGCAATTGGGGCCCAGCAGGCAAAGTCAGTGAACACCAGGAGGGACATCCGACGTGCCACGCGGGAGTCGTTGCAGTTCCATGCATGCGAGCCCTGTATGGCTATGTAGATGCTGGCGTAGCAAGCCATGATGATGACAAATGCAAGGATGTTCAGGATCAGGATAGTGCCGACGTAGGCCTTGGCCACAATGGTACTGACGTCGAATGGCAGGCAGACCGGGAATTTGTGGTAGTGGCTGACGTTGACCAGTGGCAGCACGGCTGCCGTCACTGAGAAAATCCAGCCAAAAAGCATGACAGTGATAGCGTGCGGCAGCTTCATGCGCTTCTCTAGGTGCAGAGCGTGCTTGATGGCATAAAAACGCTCCAGGGTGATGACAGACAGCGTGTAGATGGACAGCTCAGAGGAGAAGACGGCCAGGAACCCGGCTATGTGGCAGCCGGCACTCAGCTGCCAGCGGGCGCCCCACTTCTTGAAGATGCCCAGCGTGGATGTGTCCACCCCAGCCAGGAAGCCGAGGTACACTCCCAGGAAGAAGTCAGCAAAGGCCAAGTTGCAGATCAGAAAGCGTGGCACGTCCATCTTGGTACGGCTGACAAGGATGACAAGCATGACAATGGCGTTGCCCACAATGGCCAGTAGGAAGACCAACCAGACGCCGATACGAAGGAGCCATGAGCCAAAGAGATCCACACATGGCAATAATGGCCCTAAAAAAGCAAAAGCACAGCAGACAAAATAAATCTGAAGTGAACACTGGCAGAACAGTTACTTACAGTTGCACAAGATCTTTCTTGAAGTTTCTGACTTTTTGAATGACACCTCACACTGTGAATGGAACTATCTATCTTACTCTACATAAAACACCATAAGCAACACAACAGAAACATATCACTGAGTACATGTCATTGAATGTCTGAAAGATGGAGATATTCTTAGAGTCATTCTCCTTTGTCTAATTAACTGTACATCCTTTTTTATCAGGTGGTTGCTTTGAATCAGCAGATACCAACACTAGCTTAGCACTAACTTATCCTTTGGTGAAACAGATTTTATTCCTCTTTTGGGCAGACAGAATTTTTTTTTATGAGCAGAACACTAAACTGTTATATCTGGTTCCTAAGTATGACGTCACTTCAGTTTAGCAGCTGACTGCTGCGCATAATTTCATAGGGGCTTTCCATTTGCCAAGCAATGTGCGCATGCCCGCATATTTAACAGATACCTTTCATGTGTCTACTCTACATGAGCATTTTACAGATGTATGTCCTCCACACTGCCAGCAGCGTATTTGTTGTGTTCTTCGGTACTGCCAGTGTATTCAATTTATTATAATAGCCTTTCCTTTCCTATGAGTATATTCATAATGGCAGAATCCGGTACACCTGTGGCTATGAGTGTACTCGTAGTTGGCAGTCGTGTTAAGACCATGCTCACTGCACACAGAGTTACATGGAACCATGGATGGAACCGAGGTAACATGCAACTTGAGCGCTCATCCTATGGAAGCCTGCAATCAGTGCTGCCTGCACTTGTATGATGAAGTCACTTAACGAACCGGACACTGATGATGTACCAGTAATTGCATGCAACAAGTACAGGTGATTTTTATAGATCTGCAGCATCACTGCGTGGGTGCCAAGTCCATGGCACTGTAGCAGCATTCAAATGTTTTTCCACTCTCAGTATTTGTCACATTGGAGGGGAATTACTTGTGTACAGACCAGAGAAGAATGCAGCTCTTTAGCATTTCATTCAGGCATTACCTGGCTTTGGTTTGCAGCTGATGTTGTGCAGCGGTTTTACAATACTGTAGTTTCCACTGAGCCAAGTGGGCGTGCCAGCTGACACAAACACAGAAGCAAAGTAACTCTTATCCAGCCAGTCGCTGTCTGATCCTATCCCAATGTTTCCACTGCTGCCTAGGAAAATACAAAACATGCAGCACATCAAAAACAAGAAAGAAAGAAGGAAGCTATGAATGGCTGCACTGAAGTTTGGGAAACGACAAACTCCAGTTGAAAAAAAAAATTACAGCTAATCTTTATAACTAATGCCGTGACCAAGTCGTACATCTATAAAGCTATGTGAAGGCTTTCACCAGGCATTGGGTTTGGTCAGTGGTGTTCTGTTTCCTTATAGAAAGTTTGATGGGAATTGGTCCGACCTAAATTTGACCTTTTTGCAAAATGAATGAGCACTAGTGCAAAACAGCTGAGAAGGCGTTATTTTTGTTTTTGTTTTCAATCCCATCATTAAGTCAAATTAAAAAAAAGGTATCTTGTGGGATTTGCATCGCAGAGGTCAAAGCTGGGACTTGCGATGTGGTCCACCCTCTCAGTATCCTTATCAACTGGCCATACTGAGGCTTTCGCATGACTAGTCACATCATGTGATCCACCGTGACCATATGCTAATATTAGTGAAACAGCAGGACTGCTACAGAAAACAAATTAACAGTCCCTCAGCAGTTGATGAGATATCCACTCCAAGCTAGCACCTCTGGCACTGGCTGGCCCATACATGTATGGCCCTGTCTTGTGACCAAATCTGATCACATGACAGGTCTATCGTGTGAGAGCCTCATGTACCACCACTTGATGGAGATGCCAAAATGGTGTTGCACTGATTCCTAATCTTCCTTTCAAGGTAGCCACTGTTTTGATTACCATACCTCTTTAATGTGACTCTAAAATCTACCAAAATTTGAAAAGAGCTCACCTAGCCAGGAATTTTCAGGCCAAAGTATGCTATCATTGATTTCTGGCTGCAGAAAGAAAACAGAGCAAAACAAATCTGCACAGGTTTCTAAGGACATCATTTGGGTTGTGAAGTAGTACTTGTATGATGCACAACCATGGGCATTGCAAGGGAGGGGTAAGGGGAGCTTGCCTGGTAAAAATTGGAAAACTGAAGAAGGAAAATAAAAGGGAAAAAAGCAAAAGAATTGACAATGAGATGAAAATGGATGAAAGTCACCAATTTCCTTTAAAAAACCTCAAAATGGACCCATCCCACCAGTAATATTACTTTGCGCCCCCCCCCAAAAAAATCCTTATGAAGCCTATGTGCACATTACCTTGCATCTTTCATGTGTATATATAATCTGTTGTCTGCCACACAAGCAGACAAAAGGAACACAGAAATGTTTCACTTCAAAAGCAACAACAAATTCAACAGCCATATTCACTAGCCATTATACTGGTTCACTACTGATTTTTATTTTCAGCTACTGGGGAAATCAACTTTCCGCCCCACAAACTGACCCCATGAGGCCATGTGCACATATATCTATTATGCAGCACAAAGTAATAGATCTAGTGGTACAATACCACTTTAGACCACTAATTATAAGATAGTGTATAGGGGACAACTTATTTTGTTAGGAAAGTCAGAACTGAGTTGTGCATAACTGTCCCTACAACCTTTGGGTTAGCCTGTATTTCAACACATGTGTTGTCCCCATAACCTAGTAACAAGTATCTGTGGGTAGGCATTCACCGTGTTCATCAGGGGACACATTCTTTTGTAAGGGAAATTTGAACGAGTACCCACAATGTTTTTGGGTCCCCACAAAATGGGTGAAATATCGAGTGTATGTCCCCACAACTACAGTGCGGGGAAACTGTGATCACGCAGTATGTTCTTGGAGGACTTGGGAGAATGAATCCAAACCAAGGGAGTTAATCTGTTAAACAAGAAGATAGTTATGAACCTGGCTTTTTTTTCTACGCACACTGTAGTCTCCTTTTTATCCCACCAGTCAGCGGAAGGCAGATTGGCAATGAGATAATGAACAAGAGCTAACGCATTATATTACCTGGCTCTGAAAGTAATCTGTGCCTGGAATGGCACTGTCTTGAAAACGGACAAGCAAACCTTTGTAAAAACAAGGTACCGGTGTTGTAACAATGAGTAAAGGGCCTACCAAGTCTTCAATGCTGCTCTGGTACTGTTCGGCAAGTACGACGTAATCGCAGCAGTGATAGGCGTACTCCGTCTCAATCACGACGATGCTGGGGAGCGCCTCAGGTGGGGGGAAATCTTCCAATAGTTCATTGTGGTAGGTGTGGATCACCAACAGGCGCTCCAGGCCGTCCGTTGGCAGAGCGGGGAAAGAGTTCCCATCCAAATGTCTGCAGACAAATTGTAAACTGATGAGAAACACTGGTGTCTCTACAGTTGGAGAGGAGGGGGTTGCAATTAAGTGTGGAGTACATGAATTATGAGGGAAGAAAAATCAATGGCCATTGAAGCTGACATCACTTGACACTTAAAAGTTCTCTTCAGAACCATCCATGAGAAAACAGATGTCACACAGTTTTGGGCTTTTTCCGGGAATTCCAAGTCTCAAAAAATCTACATACAAGGCTGTTCTGATATTTTTGTTTTTCCTTGACTTTAACGTTGACTTTTACAAATTTCTTTTTCTTCTGCAGCATCAACTTGGAAAGAGAGGCTGGTTCCTAAACACTGATGTCCTCACTGATTAAAAAAGAAGAAACAATTCCCTATGAATACATCCATGCATGAAGACTGTACGTCCCTGCATGCAACAAAATTTGAAGTACTCACAGGTGTACCAGTTCTTTGCATGAAGCAAAGGCTTGGCTCTCTATCTTGCTGATGCTGTTATTGCTGAGAGATCTATTACAAAAAGAGTAAACAGCAGTTGGGATGACTGGAAATGTTTGGTAAAGCTGTCACTGCCAGGAATCTGATGAGCAAGCCAAAACGGAAAGAAAGCCCTCTTTCTTTCATATTGCCTGCAATATCAAATTAAATCCAGTTTGGAAAGTAGTGTATCATCCCTACACAGCATCTCTACACAGGTCCCTATCACAAATCTGGACTTATGCCAAGCCTGTGACAAAAGCATTCTGTTATTTGTCATTGTTCATCATGAAACTGGTGACTGGACTTGTTGTGAACTCAACTTCAGCCCTGACAATAGTCCATGGGGCTTGTGGGTTCTATGATGCACGCTAACAGTGTAACAGTTGAGCATTTTTCGAGTACCAAGGTTCTCATCCAAATGTTGAACTGGTCAGGAGGGAGTAAAGCTGGTGTATATGGTCATTTGATGGGACATGCACAAAGGTAAGATTAAAAAAACTTTTAGACTTCAGACACTCCAAGTTGTGTACAAAAATCAAGTTTTAGGGAGAAAAGTACTCGAAAAGTAAATGGCCAAGTACTTTTGTCGTATAAAGTTTAACAGCGATGGTTCAGTCATCATTTTACTTTGTAATCTAACCTTTGTGCCTTTACCATCCAATGTCCATGTTCTCCTTGGCACTCAAAAAGTACTGAACTACAAGGCTGCAAGCTAGGCAGAGAGGGGCGCATGCACAGTGCTAGCTGTCGCCTAATGAAAGGTAAAAGGAATGGTAACCCCAAACTCTTCCTTACCCTGTCCCTTCAATAAACCAAGGTGACCCCGGAGTGTGTACGTTTACTGAGTTGACTTGACAGTGAAAAAACATGCCTATCTGCACACTTTGTGGTGTCTCTCTGCATATCTATTATAACGTGTTGGCATCGTGGGGAACTTTTATTGGTAAGTGTGGCATGTTAGGCACAGTGCCACTGCCCATACACGAGTATACATGTACAGTGAAAGAATTAAGCGCATGTCGGAAGGATGGAAGTTCTTTTCCTAAACCATGCAAGCTTGTTCTCTGTCATTTATCTAGTCAATGAATGCATGTAAACAGCTACTGTCACACAAGGTTGTGCCAGAAATGTATTGTTATCTGGGGCTGCAATGTAACTTACAAGCTATGCAGGTTGGTCAGATTTTGAAATGCGTCGGCAGGGATGTACGTGATCTTGTTTTCTGGCAGATAGAGTTCGTAGAGGTTCTCGAGTCCATCGAAAGGTCGACCCTCAATTGATTTCAGCTTGTTCCTTCCAAGAAGACTGTCCAAAAACATGGATGGGAATGGAAATTGATATGGTTAAATTTTCAAGTTATTTCAAATAAAGGAAGACACATTGTAAATGCAACGCAATTCAATAATTCAAAAAACGATGAGAGCAAAGCAAAGCATAAAAATATAATTTTAATTATCAAAGATTATAAAAAAACAAGTTCCTGAATTTTTTTTAATCATATCTGATAACCATTCTAAACATTAAAGAGCACCTCTAAGGAAAACAACCCTCGCCCTGTGTTTGTAGTGGATAAACCCTTGTGTATGCCTAACAATGGCTGTTCCCCTTATTTTCTCTTTTTTCTCAGAGTGACGCAATCTACATTCAGAATTCGCATCTTGGCATGAACAGAAAAAAAAACCGTTTAACTGGTCACAGTTGAGCCCTGAAGACACATGACACTGCGTTCAATTTGGATGCTTCCACATTTATTTGAAAGGATAAAATCAGAGAAAACATTTTTTCCTTAGAGATGCTCTTTAATCTGATGTCAAACTGAATGCTCCGTGAGTGGGTTACAGAAGTACTTACAGGATTTTGAGGCTGGAGCACTTGGAAAAGCTGGGTAAGATCTCAATCTGGTTGTTTATGAGATCTCTGGGTGAGCAAAAAGACAAAACATGATTGCAAATCCACAAAATGGGCTCTCCTTTAATGGTCCCCTTTGCATCCCATTGCGCTTCCAATGAATACACCCTTAGCACTTTCTCTAAGTTGAAATGGTCTGCTGGACATGCTAGTGACTTGAAATGTTCCTTGGGCATTTGTTGATATTGTTGGAACTTCTTCCTGCTCCTTAATCAGAATATTTGCCAATATCACAAACAGGCTGGCCTGATATACTTACAAGAATGTCAAACTAGTTCTGTTGTCACAGAAGTTCTCTGGTATTGCTCTCAGCGAGCATCGCTCAATTACCCTGAGGCAAAAACAATTCAAAAGATTAGTCTGTCCATAAGTCTGTGACTTGCTCAACAAATTATGGTGTACAACTTGCCCGATCATTTTAACATGCGTCACAGTATAGTGGCCAGGTCCCTTATTCCGCCACTCACTGTGAAAACCAATGAGACTTGAAAATAGGTGGCGGAATTAGGGACCTGGCGACTATATAGTCACACACGATAGGTGGTGTAAGTTGTGGCAGCAAATAAGAAATGATTTCATTAATCATGTTTTATACAGTAAATATTTGTATTTTGGAGGTAACGAAAACCTAGTATAGCAATTAGAGAAGTTTGACATTTTCCACTCGATCCAACAACGACAAGAAGAAAACCTTTCCCAAATGGCTGGCGAAGCTAATTTAATGAATGTTTCACAGCTGCAACACTAAAAAGGGGCCAATTGTTTTAAGGCTGTAATCATCTTCGTCTAAGATGTTCAACACAATTAAAATGTTGTGGAGCTGAGCAACCGGTTGTGAAACTGTAAGAGCCCTGCATAGCTACTCCACCAGCTTACGTGTGGTGTAGGCAATTGTGCAACATTTTCCGAAATCGGCTGCAGTAGTGTGTCCTGCCTGTGCACCTCGGACACACAGATTTGAGTTGTGCCACTGTCTTCCAAGGTTCTTCCCTTTGGGAAGGCTGCCACATTTAGAGAGATGCACGGGGTCTACTGAGGCTACAGACCAAAGTGGAAGACATGCTTCTTGGCATTATGGACTGGATCCAAACTTCTCAATATCAGTTTTGAACAGTTGTTGTGGAGGGGAAAACTATCAGTTGGACTGTTTCTGATAATCAGAAGAAAATCTATTTACTGAGCAATACTTAATAATGAGCAATACTCACAGCTCACTTAAGCTGGTGGTTCCAGTGAGATCGGGGAACACAGACAAGTTTCTCACATCAGATATTGCGCTGAAACAAAGAAGCAAATGTTCACTGAACAATGTGGTGAGTTTGGTGGTACTCAATCAGGATTAGGTGTGCTTCCATTTTGCCAACATCATTTTTTGGGGGGAGGACTAAATAAAAGGGGTGACTTCCAAGGTCATAAACCTGGGGGAGGGGGTAATTGTTTCCCCCACTTTATGAGGGAGGGGACTGAGCTATTGGATTATCTCTCCACTTTTTTATGATGAGAAAACAAGGCCAAATTGTGAAGTGGTTTTTCAAACTTCCCAAGAAACATAATGTACTAAGAATAACTGAAAATGGGAAAGAAAGAGCATAAAAGCTTTTTTAAAGTACGGCACACTGTTTTGATGTAAGTTTAAATCATCCCCAGTCCCTGGCAAAGATTTATGCTGCTGTGATGTAATATATGAGGATCAATGCAACACAAAGGTTATAACTATCTTGATGAAGTCTGCTCATCCAAGCTTGCCATGTAAAGGGCTAACTTGGTTGTCTTTGTTGCTACTATAGATTTTTTGAAACAGGGAGGAGGGCTATGTATACAATTGAACTGTGGAGAAAAACAATGAAAAGAAAAGCAGAAAAACTTACAGTTTATGTAGAGCAGGTAGGTTCCTGAATGTGGTGTGGGCTATGCTCTCGATGCTGTTGTTCATGAACTGCAACCCCTCAAGTTTGACAAGGCCAGCGAAGGGATGTGCAGAGAGATGCACGATAAGGTTATGGTTCAGGGACCTGTGCAAAAATTGAAGTGAATTACCATTTGGTGAAGGCAGGGCACCCAACATTTCTCCTCGTGCTCTAAGCTGGAGTATCGAATATCAAGGGTGGATAAGGGGCGGGGGAGGTAACAGGGGCCATTTCCTGCCCCCCAAAGAAATTGACAAGGATTTTTTTTAATCGATAAGCGTTAGGATATTTAGTGTTTTATATGGAGGTTGTTTTGTATGGAAAGAGCCATCTTGTTCAGGGAATTATTTCTCAGCAGCTGCTTAATTGTGAATGGTGTGATATGGGGATGCTGCTTGTTATACACACCCTCCCCCCCAAAAAAAAATTGGGTCTGGATCCAACCATTGTCCGGTCATAGGTACAGGGGCCATCGTGAGCATGCTATGTAAAATCTGAGAGGTTACAAAATTGTAGCGGTGAGTCATGCTCATTCTCCATGAAATTGTCACACTTGTGCTAATTAATACGTTTTTGCCCATCATGGCAAACCAAACGCTGCTGCCGAATGCCAACTAAACACCGGCGTCTTGGGCCTACCAAGGATGGATCCAGAGGACAAATCTGCTTTCAGGTGGAGAAAAATGGATTTTTTTCCATGTAACTATTTATGGCCTTTCTGAGGGGTGGGGCTTAACAGGGGCTTTTTACAAGCTTTATTAAGGTAGGGAAACAAAAGTGATATTGTCCTCCCTGTAATTTTTTTTCAAACAAATTTGGCTGCTTTGGGGGGAGGGGGGACACCATGGCCCAATTCCCCCCCCCCATCTGACCTTAGGACTAAAACTGTGTGCCAATAACCTAATTTGCCCACTTATGATTTGTTGATAATAGCAGCCAAAATGAAAGCCTCACAAAATAGCCGCTTCAATACACCGTACAACTTCTTAAGTAATGCAACTGCAAGTGCGGCCACAAATGGAGCGGTGCCACTGCATAACGATTTAGAAAATTTGCAGCTTAACTGGTGGTAGGCCCTACTCCCCATAGGGCACATGCTCCCCCCCCCCACAAATTCCCAGTGCTGCCCCCTCCTACTTTAGTAAAACCAGATGAATGGATATTCAACAAGGCTAACAAAAACTTTCCCCAAAAAACCCTGGCACTGAAAGCTAGTGCCCCTAATAAGATGCTGGGCCCCCTTTGTGCCCCCCTGCACACTAGTAAAATCCTAGCTATACCACTGCCTACTCCACTGGTTGAAGTGGCATTCATTAATAACTTTATACATGTAATGTACCATGTTCTTTGCCTAACTAGTCTGTGGCCCCCACACCAAGTCCAATGTAAATATGCATGTCTCTAAAAAGGCCACAAATATTTTCTGTTGACTAAGTCATATTGAGTAGAACTCCCTCATTTTACCTTCTTTATTGTGATTAGTTTGTTCAAGTGCTCGGAGGAAGGGGGTCACGGCGGGTTCCATGTCATCTGGAACCCAGATTTGAGCCAACCACAAGCAAAGTTCTGTCCCACAAATAGTCCTTCCGAAAGCCAGACAGTCCCAGTTGTCTGAGATCATTTTGACTGAAGGCCCACATATGTACTCAGTGAAGCAAACAGTGCCACCACAATGAAGCTGATTTCTCTGAATTTAAGCTGCTTTCTCTTCAAATGAAATTTCCCTGGCTGTCCTGGAACAACAGTGTCTGGTTTTCAAGATTTATTAGACAGCAATGCACAATGGGGCCTTGTTTGCTGATCTAATAAGAAAACCAACAGATTACCAAATATAGCCCATATTTTCAAGCAGGGGCTAGGCTGGTTTGGCCTCTGGGGTGTGATTTTCAAGAAAGCGGAACTCCAACTTCCAGCATTAAAGTGGGGAAGGCAAGTGCATGTGATAAGCAGATTGCCCCAGGTAAATGCATTTGGTATTTAAATTTTTCATTTTTCTTGTATCAAAACCCTGCATACTGTCACCTTAATAAAATAACGTACTGCTGTTTGGTTTAAAACAAAAATATGAACACCTCAAGCGGAACTCTCTTCAGCATCCCCCAGTCTACACCCTCGTTTGCCAAGTTTTGGGGGCCTAAAATATTTTTTCTAGATTTGCTCAAGTGAAGAATGCAATATTTCAAGAATTGGTGAAAATATTTTTGATAAGTATTTAATCTGAAAGAATATTACAAGGTAGGGGAAACTTTTTGTCTATTTTTCATTTATTTATCATTTTGAAAGGACAGTATGATCAAGATAAAAGAACATGTATGACTCACAGTTCAGTTAGGTTGGTATTGTTGACAAAGGCATGGTCGGGCACCACACGGATGCTGTTCTTTTCCAAGTGGAGGAAGCGGAGGGCTCCCAGGTGTCGCAGTGCCCTCGTCGGGATGCTAGTCAAATGGTTGCTGTTGAGATTCAAGTGATGCAGGGCCGGGAGGCCCAGGAAAGCATCATCAGGAACCTCTCGGATGTAGTTACTGTCCAGATGTCTGGTCACGGAATAAACATGAGAATACGATTAACTGACGCCCAATTTTGAACAAAATAAACTTTTCCAGAAGCAGAATCCCTTGGCTAAATGCCAAACTCAATACTTTTCTCACAATTCTGAAATGCACTTACAATGCAGGAGATACACTTACAACTTTCTTAGGTTGGCTGTGTGGCCATTGCGGAATGATTTGCTGGGGAAATGCTGAAATCGATTCAGCTGCAGATTCCTAGAAAGAGTGAGCGACACATAAAGATGAACAATGAAAGTGATGATGTAATTTGTGAACAAGTTGAATAGTTATTAACACACATATTCTCTGAGCATTTGAAGTGCAAGTACATTTTTCCAACATGTCTGCCTGGAAACTTTAGCCACTGTTTGATTACATGAAGTACACCCTGCTATGAATACCGTTCGACAGTAATTTAGGGGCTACTTCTAATCTAAGACAGCCCCCCCTCACTTGGCATCTTTACACATAAATCAACACTTTGTAAAAAAATCTGTTTTTAATACAAGCACCTTTGTGTATACTTAAGTGAAGTGTGCCCTTTTTACTTCCTCATGTTTTGTCTTTGTTGTCAAAATCCTGCCTGGTCTTTTTGTTGAGATGAGGTTCTAAAGTCATGATTGTGCTCATCAGACTATGCCTCCATGTCATCATGCTATTTTCCCTTTTTATTGTAAGAATACTGTACCATATAAGTTGTCATAAAAATGATAAAATGCATGTTTGTTTGAGACTAATTCAGGAGAATGGATGTGACTAATGCCCAAGCTGCATTACCAGTGTTCGTTCTCCTGAGCAAAGTCTTGAACGATAGTTTAAGACAGGTCATGCACATATTTATTCCCATTCATAAATACTTTTTTATTCAGAGAGTCAAAAGAATTCAACTTATGATAGATTTCCAATGATTTTGTTCTAAAACTTTACCTTCATTTTCCCGAACACCCCCCCCGCCATTTCTTGGTATATTCCTTTTGAAAATTGTAAAATAGAATCCCCTTCAATGAACTTGGCACATGCATGGTGCTTGTGTGCACACAGACTCCTGACCAATTAGACCCCATTAAACTGTCTCCTATCCATGTGCCAGCGTGTGATTTACGCAGCGGCCATATATCACTTCTCAGCGGGCATTATCAAATTTTAATATGCGGTCATGTGATGCATTTCAACCAATAGGCGTAGAGAAATTGTCCCAGCCTGGTATTTATGAATAATTGTGAACACATGCTTGTTGCTTTCATAGCTTCATGTATTTTACAGAATGGGCATAAAATGGCACCTTTAATTATGTGGTCACATTTAACACCACGATTCTTCTTTGCTTTTTTACATACTAAGTTTAATCCCCACAAAATAATACCGAAGACATTCTACAACAATCGACATCAGCTGTTATTCCATCCCCCAAAAAGAGCCTAAGTCACTTCAGGGGACAGCTCTTAGAGCCACTGCTGTCAATCTGGGGCACAGTCTACATGTAATTCATTCAGAATAGGGGCTCATTGAGCCTCCTGTTTCTCAGTAACAAATAGTGAATGACTGTCTTGGAAGGTCTCGGTGCTGGTGACATCTCCATGAAGGTGACTGATGACACGAAATAAATTCCCCAAGACTGGTCTCCAGCCAGGTAGTCTTTATGAGAAAGCGAGCATGATTTAACTCCTCCTCCCTAATTTTCAATTTTTCCTTGCATGAGGTGAATTGGGGTTCAGTTCTTTCTCCCCTAGACAGTTGAATACGGTGGCTAGTCAATGATTGGCCATCTGCTGCAGCGGGGGCAAGATTTGCTTGTGCAGGTATGCACTGTTAAAGATTGATTGCCGATTCACGGCTGATTAATTAAAAAGCAACGCCTGTGTCCGTCTCTGATGTAGGGGACAGCTTGCAGGAAGAAAGGGCAGATCATTTCCAGCATGGGAGGATGCTAAAAAGAATCCAACTGCCTTGGGCTTGTTTACAACTCAGTTTACTGGACAACTAAATGGCACCGTGGGGATTGCTGTGGTCTGTCTTGCAGGGTTACTGCACTTTGCTGAAAGAGCCTTTGGCAGGAGAGTGCACATGTATTCCCACAACAAGGAAGGCCTTTTCATGACAAGGTATGGGTGCACTAATGGTCTACGGCCTCCCCAAGGGAGCATGATGTCTTTTTGCGAGGCAGTGGTGCAGGATGGTGAGAAGGGGTGGGGGGTTGAGAAACAAGACCTGTCAAGTAAACTTATCTGCCAGTTCGTGACTTTCTGCTATTTTTTCAAAAACTAGGGAAAAAAGTGGGGATTATGAAATCCCACAAGGGCCAATCCAGAACAACTTTTTTTGGAGGGGAGGGGTTGAACTTGTTTGGGAGGCCAAAACTTTGGAACATTTTTTCATGTAACCTTTAAGGCTTTTCCGAGGGGTGAGGCTACATTTTGGGGCTTTTTTTGACACTCTTAGAAGGGAGGGAAATGAAATAGGCATGAAAATTGCCTTTCTCTCATCGGCCCCCCACCCCCAAAAGTGGGCTCTTTTCTTGGGGGGTGCATGTAAATGGCCCCCTTCCTCAAATCTGCACTTGAAATCACACAAAATGACCACCAATAGAACAGTGATTTTTTCCCCATCCTTACTTAAAACTTTAACTGACATGAAATCAAAGTACATGTGCATTACACAGCTGGCTAATAAAATTGTTGCAGGGAAAGAAGTTCTTTGGAATTAGACTGCATTGGTATGTCAAACATGATGCTTGAGTCATTTTGTCCTGTGAGGGTTCACTTGACTTTGAGTAACATCTACATTCAAGCTGTCTCCAAAAGCATGCCGCTATTTATTTAAAAAGTCTATGAAAAAAACACTTTTAATAGTGTGTTTTACTTCATATCACAAAGTGTGAAAAAATCACTTCAGAGTGTGTTTTACTTCATTTCACAAAGTGTGATGTTTGACAGTAAAATGTACAGTTTCACCCCTGTCATCCAGCAAGGTGATATGCACCATTTCTTTTTTTGGGGGGGTGGGGGGTGGGAGGGGGACATTGAGTTTTGCATCAATTGACTTTTAGCTTAATAACTAAATTTGTTCACAAGTGGCCTGAAAGCAATGAATAGTGACTTCAAGACCCTCAGTGTGAATGCTTTACTTAATATATTTCTCGAGGCACCAAAAAAAACCAAACCTTCAACTGAATTCTTTCCTAGTCAGACTTTCATTAGGAATTCTTGCTCACAGGTACAATGGAAGTGGAGAAATTTGTGTCTATAAGACACTAATGGCAAAGGCGAAATTACAACCCCTTTTTAATTTTCAATTCAAGTGCATGTTCACCTGCCACAAGTAATAATATATTTTTCCTCTCAGCACCTCCTGTTTTTAACCAATCTGCAATGTGAACACCTCTTACATTAGGTAAGTAATTTCCCAGGGGTACTCAGACAACCAGCACAGACATGCACACCCAGTATTATTTTGGATACACTTCAATGATTTACTATTTTATTAAACTACCACTGGCAAAACTCGGCCGCAGGATTCCTTTGTGACAGCTGGCTCACTCAGGAATCATATATCACAACAAATTTACCTTTTGCCGGATGTCCTCAGCAAATATTTGGGCCATAAGAAATTCAATTGCTACTCCAAATTGTTCCTTTTCAACAGCAAATTGGGATGTAGTGTTGGCTGTATTTGCCAGAACAGCGGCTATGAGCCACACTTGGACAATTAAATGGGAGCTGACCAAAATGCTTTTTAGGGTTTCACGGAACGTGATTGGAGTCTCCTTTTTCCTGCAGGGAAAATTTCTCGGCTGATGATGGCCGAGCGTCCCCATGGAATCAGGGTCCTCTTCCACAATAAATTCTTCGGAATTGCAAGCTGTCTGGAGCTCAGTGGGAAAAAGTCCAGTACACCAAGCAAAATCCATGTGGGGATAAGACGCATTCACTTCATACTTGAAGGCAAAAGTATGATGCCAGGGAGTTTGTCAGACTACTTTGTTTCGGCTGGAAGTCTCACTTTCTCGAACTTACTAAGCAGGTTTTACCATCGGCGATATTTTATAGTAAATGGCCCCAGCTCTTTCCCCCCTCCCCACTCTCAGCTGTCACGAAGATTCAGGACAAATACAGCTTGATTTCTCTATCGGCTACAAAATCTGCTGTGACGAGAAAAAGAGAAGGTCGTATCTAGATTTCTTCTATTTGCCTGCAACATGTAAGATTTACGGCTGTAGTGGGAGTTACAATTTGGGAACAAAACTTGAAAACACTTATAACAGGAACAAAACAGACTGTGACAAGTTGAAAGCAGTATTCAGGTTGAGTGCACTTCCAGGGGTAAATCTGATAAAGAAGGCATCTATGCAAGTAATAGAAGAGTGACCATAACAAATGCAACAATCTATATACTTTGATGTGAGAGAAGCACTTAGGTAATCCCATAAAATTGGTGTTCAAAAGTGTAATACTTTTATAATCCTGTTACTCCCCACTTGTGTAATTTGGCGTGGAAATATCACTGAAATCTACTTCAAACTATTTTATTGTTCGGCAAATAATTTGTATTACTTAATCACTCTAACATATTAGAGGAATGTGTTCTAAATTTACAAAATCTTATGTCAGATGTGACAGGGAAATGAAAACACTGGACACCAACTTTACATAATGACCCACTTCAGCCATGTCCAAAAGATTTGGGTGCATACGGAAAAGACCAAGCTGGTCGATGTAGATGCATGTATTATTTCAAGCCTTAGTCAAGAAATTTGGATAGATAACTACCTCTGTGTTGAAAACTCATGAGGGCACTCCGTGCAGGAACAAAAGAGGGCATATTCTTAAATGAAAATGGCAGACTTTTGGTATATTTGGCATGGGGCATGTTGAGTACATGCAATAAATCTATGCTGGAATGTATGGTCTTCACGTGTGCACCGAGCACATGCTGGAACCTGGTTGGACAATTTCTCACCAGCCTGTCTTTCTTTCGCTGGCGAGGGTGCACTTCAACTCAGGGAGGATTGTCACCGATGACACCTACACTATTAAAAGTTTGACTATGATTATATGGGCGCGTCACCAAGCACAGTACTCAAAAGCAGCAGACTGACAAATGTTCCACAGTGAAAGCCATTTTCATAGAAATTTTTGAAATTCACCCCTTTCCTTGTTTTTTTTCTATTCTGTTATGTTTTCCCAAGGGATTTCTTTGCTCCCTTTGAGATTCCCACAACTGCCAGGTCTACAGAAGCATCCAGGGACTTACAGTGTCAGTAGATTTTTGAGACCTTTGAAGACATCCTCATCAAGGGTGGAGAGATGATTGCCCAAAAGCTTCCTAAGAAACAGCAATTGATAATGCAGTCGGTAAATTACCAATGCTATGTACTATTTAACAGACCTAAAACATGATGTCATAACGTAGTGTTTACCGCAGTGTATTGTGGGTGAAAAGTGGAGATAGAAATCAATGATGCTGGACACAATCGTCAGTAATGTGTGTCTTTGTTCGTAGTTTGTCGTTTGGCATTTGTCGTGTGCTTGATACACACAATGGCACACAACAGTAAATGCCAACCATTTTGGAAAATACAGGCCTTCTCAATTTCAGGATCTCTTCGACAATTTTCCATGCACATGATGTTAGCAATGGCGTGCATACTATTGTCCCCACAATGCACAGTGGTAATCATTGCATTACGTCATTATGTTGTAAGACTACTCTAACACTGTGAATGGAATCTAACTGGACTCAAGTAGATAAATTTATATGCAACCAAACATTGAATGAAGGTTTGACTTTTGGGGGGGAGATCAAACTATTAAAAACACACTGCTACTGGGGAAAATCTGCACTTTTTTCTATCATTCAGGTACAGATTTAGTTGGGTCTTTGCATTTAAAGTTTCTGAATGGGGAGAAAGCTTATTTTCTTTATTTCTACAGATCAGCACAGGGTGAATAGTACAGTGCTTATTTCTCCTTTGTTTAATCATCCACAGAGAGTTGCTTTTTCTCATCACTCAACCTAAACCCATGTGTGGGGTGGATTTCAGCAGGTTTATTTATAACTCGAGAAAAAAAGTTGTGAAATGGGATACAAGTCATCAATTTTACCATTGGTTGGGGCTTCCAGTGGGCACAGCGGGAACCAAATTTGATCAATATGAATCACTAGATAAAAAAAAGAAGCAAAGTTCGTGTAACACCCACGCTACAGGACATTGGTTGCCATGGTTTCCAAGACTGTTCCATCCATTATAAAGGGGGTTCAGAGTAATAATATTCAAACTGAAGAATGGGTACATTTTGCCTGATTTCTACTTCTGTCTGATGCTCATTAAAAAGTACAATTTGATAGGAGCCATTAAGTTTCTCTGCAGAAGAAAGGAGTGGTACTGTTTGAATAGAAACAACCATCTTGGGAAATGAAAATACCCAATATCAAATGCTTTGGGCTGCTCCTCTCTACAGGTGTCTGTGGTTATTGTAGGAGTGGGGATACCTGTTGAGGAGGCGGAAATGAACACAGGAAGGGCAGGGAGTGAAGGGGTTATTGTTGATAATATAATTACATATCTGGGAAGAGTGGTGTCCCTTTCCAAAGATTTTCTTATTGACTTTGTGGAGAGAAAAGTTGCGGTCTCCCAATTAATGTCCGATTCTGCTTTTCATAAATCGAAGTGCTAAAACTGGACACTCTTAGAAAATGACTAATGTAATGACTAAAATAGCATAGGAATTTGAAAGGGTTGTGGTTTATAACGGTAAAGGGGAACCACACACTGGCCACCCCAAGCGTTTAGCCTACGATTAGGCATTCATAATAGATTCTACTATAGCTATAGCATAAAAGACCTGAGAAAGAGTAAACTAAAGATGGGTCTCATATACCTCCAAGAAAAACAGTCATATCCATGACAGGTTCCACTGGATTTGAGTCTATGCCCAACACAAAATAAATGTAAGGAATATCCCCATATTCTCTAATCTATGACTAACCTACAGGCTACAGCCACCCGAGGAAGTGGACAAATGTGTGGGCCCCTGACACATCTTTTCTGAATGCAGCCACGTAACACATATCTAGCAACATATAGAAAACTTTAATGATTTTCCTCTGTAATTGTTGACAAATTTCAAATGTTAATTCAGATCTATAATAATGCCCTTCTCCCCCCAAACAAACTTGAAAAACAAACAATTGTTTCGACATGTGTTTTTTTTAGGAACTCAAACTTACAGGTGGACTAGATCAGGCAGATGGTGGAATGCGTCGGCGGGCAGAGTGCTGATGTTGTTGAAGCTCAGGTCTCTACCAAAGAGGAAAAGGAAAGAATACAAAAAGCATAAAACAAAAAGCTTGCTTTGGCTTGAAGTTACCCTCTTTCCATTAAACAGACCATTTTGGGGGACATCTGCTTTCTAATAACAAAACTGGGGACTCAATGACTTCAGGGGAAAATTACTCTTAGGCTAACTTTAGAGTGAAAAAAGACCACTCTGAGTGAAAGTCGATGTGAAATTTTGATCTAAGTGAGCTGTTTCACTCTAATTTTGTCTGGTTTCTATTGTCTCAGCTGGAGGTGCTGAATTTAATCTTGAGTAAATTTACACTCGGTTTTATTCAGAGAGTGCAAGCTTGCAGATTGTCTTGATGTTCCACAGAACAAATGTAATGTGTGTCTGTGCTGGGACTTCAATGCTACTCTCTTTTTAATTGAACTACCACACAGCACCCAAAGTGAAACAAAATCTTGTCGGTCTAGCATTACAATACATCTTGGTTAAATTGGGATAAAAACTGATGAGAATGTACGATGCCACTAAAAACTTTAAGACCCACAGATTATATTGAATGCAGGGGTTAATCTTCAACTGACTGTAGATTTGATGAATTAGAAAGTGCTGTGATCTGGCTGTATTTTATCTCTGTATATCTACCTAAAACGAAAGACGCCCCCGATCTTATTATTGTAAAGATCCAAATCCTACTCCTTTTATGAGCAACTATCCAATATACGGAAACCCACCACGCAGATTTCTGAGTTTCAAAGATTTATTCATTAAACATTTACACATCTTGCCGACAGCCGACATAAATTCGTGTTATCTCCTGTAAGCAACTGTGCTTTCTCAAAGGTGACCTGTGACCCGCAAGGGGCCACAGGTCATGTATTGGAAGGGGGAAGGGTGCCAGTGTCTCGTGTCCTGGTCGGGCGGGAACTTCACTGCAATTGCCAATTACATTAATGTGCCAGAGATTGGATGGGTATGCTCTCTACATCAATCATCCCGTGTCTGGATTCTGCCTTAAATTTTTCCCCTTGCAGAGGGATTGCAAGACGCTGAGGAGGCAATGAGAATGTGTCGCAGAAATAACGAACGTGCGAGTGAACGGAGAAGAGTAAATGAAGCAAATACACCTGATACCATGGATGACAGCTAAATAACAGGAGCTGAGAAACTCTGCCTGCCCAGGATACCTAGCATTCACTGGAAAGCAATCGATGGAAAATTTCTGACAGTAGAATTCCATCTAGACAGGTATATTAAACAACCCAATGCGATGGCTCAACTGACTGGAAAGCCTGATAAACAAAACAAGCTGGATTGGCTAACTTTCCTAAAGTCTGACATGGTTGTGAATCCTGACACCTGATCAGACTAAACTTTGGAAAAAAATAGCTCTATTAGTACTTGAGCCTTGTCCACGCTGGCCTGAAAACTATGAAGAAAAAGTCAACTGCTTTGTCAGACATAACGAAAGATGACTACTGATGAGAGAGTTTCACAATAAGGTCAGACTTCTCCAAAATGACTTAATTGACTCAAATGAACTGCACTGGGAGAGTCTGCCTAGACTACAGTGACGTTGACTCACAACAAGCTTTCATTTTGACTTGAGATCTGCCAGAAGAGAACTCCAACTGTCATTTATGACCAAGGCCGGGAAGCCAAAATGCAGCACCTATGCACAATAACAAAAACAAACCATATGTGATAACTGATACATGTACACAGTTTCGGCCGATTTCGACGACTTTAATATGCACATGCTACTTGATGGATGATCCATTAGCACCGTTTTGCAAGTTTCATGCATAATTTGATAACAGCCAGTTGTGACTCTTTTTTCCCCCTTTTTTGGTGTTGTTTCTGCAGAGTAATTCCTGGAGACATCTGTTAGTATATTGTTTCCCCCTCAGCAAGTGACAGCTTAATAAATTTGCACATTTCTTTTTATGGCTGGCCTGGGGGTCAGTAGAGGGTCAAGGGGGTGCAGGAATCCAAAGTACATGTTTGGGATAATGTTAAAAATAGACCAAACCAGATCTGTGGCCCCACTGGAACATAAACTTTCAATGCTCCTTTGCAACTCAAAGAATAAACACACTCCTAGTTTCAATCTAGCACCTCTTGAAGGTACATGGCGTTTTATTGGGAAGTTTAAGAAAACAGGTAAAATCAATTGTGCATTTTCCAAAATCAAGTATGCTGGCAAAACAATACAATTTATAAAAGTCAGTAATGGGAAGGAACTTTTTCAAACAACAGTAACAAGGAAAGCTATAGTTATTTGTAACTGTTTGCCAGCATTTCCAATTGCTTTAATTATTGGAAGAGAAAAAACCTTTACTGAATTAATACAAAAAACAACTGTGAGCCTGACGATTCCAAATAACTGCATTATTTAGCCATGTAGGGTAAAACTTTGAGTTGTATACCATAGCTTATGAAAGTCAATTTCAACATCCTGAATGAGTTACTGCATAATGATATGGAATGTTTCAATCGGGTAAAAAAATCACAGAGTGGAAAAACCTGTGTGCTGTTTTTCTTCATTTACTCCAAAGAATGCGTTGACTCCATTCAGGAACAGAAGACGAACTAAAGTGGACCCTAAGAAGAGAAACAAGTGAGGCAAAATGACTTTTTGTGCATACGCGTGCGTGCATCTGGTGTGAGGGGCACAACAGGCAAATAATATCACCGGAATCTGCACAATGCCAGCCTGCAGCATGTCTGTGGTGATGCTTTTCCAGAGTTCTTCATTTTCCTCTTTGTCACTGCTGCTAATGGTACTTCCCATATCCCTGATTACTGACCAGAGTTGTAGTCAGGTACCTGTATTACCTAACCCCATCCTATGATGAGTTCACTGAGCGAGACATTAGGAATCCTAATCTTGAAATACGGATGAAGCTACATACTACAGATCTTAGACAGTAACTAATTCCCCCACCCCCCCCAACTAAAGGCTTGGACAATCAGATTTGGTTACATACTATAATTTTCCAAGACAAAGGTTTTCAGAAAAACAACTGCCCCAGCAACTGTTTTTTGAGTACATATATCCCAAAGTTCAATAAAAGCAGAGTCAGGTTGGCGTAGTGCTTCTTTCCTCACCTTCCACCTCTATATGGTCCGGGTTTGATTCCGGGCTCGGTTCACTTACCTGAATCTGTAGGTAAATTTGACCCAGAATATTCCTCCCACTTCTAAAACTGTGACTATTTCTCACTGTCTCCTAGATGCAATTTTCTTCAGGCTTGCAAACTACGTACAGTACGACCTAAGGTGATCTTCAGGAATCCTCAGTGTTATTACCAGAAAAAGTCAATAATAATAATAGTAATAAACACTTTTGTGTATCGAAGTAAGCCCCATGACAGGTTTTGAGTTTTCTCTGCCATTGACTGCATTTGTTGTCTATGGGGCAGCAAGGACATCCGGGAGTTTCACAAAAATACGGGTAGCAACCACACCACGGCCGGCGAAAACAACTGCAACGAGTGCGCGCATACGTACAGATCAAAGAAAAGATTGTATAACCTGATCCTGTGTACATCGCCAAGGTCACTGTTTTCACCGGCGCAGTGCCTGTTATTTTGCGAGAATCCCGGATGTTTGGGCCGCCCCATACTGCCAATATTTCTTTTGATTTTGTTCACTATAAAACAACTCCCTCTTCTACAACTCTGTCCTCAACAGTTTTCCACATGAGTGCCCTAAGTACTGCATTTTGAGCACTGGTATAAGAACTGGACAAATAAACACATGAAATACAAATGGTCACATATGGCCTTTAACACTTTAATGTTCTGGTGGGTATCTAAAGACCTTTCTAACAGCAAACCTCAAAACAACAAACAGCAACCCCAGGGAACAGCTGTTCCAAGGTTGGAGTCAAGACTTGAAAATCAAAGAATTAAACAGAAGCACAGCCAGTGGTCTCTTTTTATATTGAGAGTGGAGGATCATAAAACCACAACAAGTGCAGCAAGAATAGCCCTGGCTTTTCTTTTAACGACTCCTGCCACTGCCAAGAAATTTACAGCCAACCTCCCCACAGTAGGGGGTAGGGGTGAGCCCAGGTACCCCATGCACACACTGGCAAATATTCCAAGCATGCCATAAGAACCAAAGTACTGAGGTGCACTTTGGTCAGATTTTTCATAATTTTTCTCCTGGGTTTGAGCCTGCTACATGCACCTCCATATGGTCTGAGACAGTCAATGTTTTTTCTGGGTAGCAAGTTTTTTTGTTTTGCCCCAGGTGAAAACCCTTTGATCGATGAAATGCACGTGTCAACCCCTTTTCGTAAATGAACAACACAGGTTTTGATCGTGCCTGCTGTGAGTGGAAATGCAAGTTCAAAACCACAGATCCCTCTTAAAATTGGGAGGAAAAAAGATTGTGTTTGGGCTCACATTGTTTTCCATCTAATACTTGTACACTTTTTGGTTCCATACCTGGTAAAAGTAATAGCACAGTTTAAAATGTTGGTTCTTGTGCTGATGTTGAAACTGCACAACTGTTTATTCCCCAACAAACACAGATAAGGGTAATTCTAGAAATTAGGGGTCCATTTGTTTTTGTGTCCCTGTCACATATGACGTATGGTTTTGTAAGTTTAGAAGACATTTTCTAGTTTCAAAGAGTGATGAATTAACGCAAATTACCTGCCAAACAAATAGTAATAGTTAGAAATCAATTCTGGTGATATTTCAATGTCAAATAACAAAGATCAGATGTACGTAACAGGGACACAAAAAGGTCACACTTTTGGACCCCTAATAATCTGGAATTACCCATGATTTATAAGTATACTTCCAAACTTGATAGAGGGGTATTTAAAGTTTTATTTCCAAGGAAATGAAGTCAAACATTGAAGTTAACCTTGAAGAGCTTAAAAAGTTAATGGATCTGTTCTTCTGTACTGGACAATGATTACAGCATGACTGGCATGAGCCACATAACTACAATGTAGACACGGTCGCTCATCAAGAATCGTGGTGTTAGTACAGTTAC